GTTTCCCTTGCCATTAAACATAATTGGATAGTTTTTGTCTAATCCAAAGAAACAAAACTAGTACTTCCTCTTATTTTCTTATGTTTGCCGAGTAACATTAATAAAAAAGGTTCAGGATAGTTCCTTTCTACAATCAAAATATATGAAGAAAAACCTTATATCTGGAAAACTTCATCCTATAGATGATTCTGGTTTGATTTGGTGTGGTGATTTTGGAGCTTCCTTGAGAACTTAGTTTCTCTTTCCACACAAATGAGACAATTGTTTCCGTGCCTGGAACTTGAACTCAGAGAAGTAAACATGAGGGGTGAACGCAGAGAAATAAAACAAGTAAACTGCTATCAAACTGTTATATTCCAGAATATTAATACTACATTCTTAAAACATCTCTTATCTTTTTTCTTTTCTTTTAGGTTTAAAACATCTCTTATCAGTGACATTTATTTTACTTTGGTCAGTAAAGAGTAAAATTTCTTTGAGATTGGCAGTTTAGTAGCTCTTTGAAAATTGAAGGATTAAGGCATAGTTGTTTTTGTTACATTAATCTTGTGTTTACTGTAGTCTTTCCTTTTTACTTAGAGAGTTGTGTGTTAGTTTAGAGAGACATGTGAAATGTAGAAACCTCCAGTTTTATAGGTGATATCATTTTTTAGGATAAAGGCATGGTTGTTTTTATTACATTTACGCCAAGTCTTGTGTTTATCATAGTCTTTTCCGTTGAGTAAGAGATTTTGATGGCGGTTTAGAGAGACATGTGAGATTCAGTCATTTAGAGAAGCTCCAGTTTTATAGAACTCTTATTAGGCTTAAGAAAGTCAAGTTATTGAGTGATGAAATGAAGTAGCTTGAATAGAGTGGGAACCGATACAGAGAATATAGCCAACCTCAAATTATTATGGGCCTGAGGCTTTGATTGATTAATTGAGAGTACAATTCGACAACAAATATATAAATTAGTCAACTTTGTGGGATGTTATGCTTGAAGTTTAACAGCGAATATAGAAATTAATCAACTTTGTTGGATGTTATGCTTGAAGGTGCATGACCATGTTAATTGGAGCTTCCTTCTTAAATTTCTATCTAAAAGGCATGGCCTTTGGTGAGAAATGGATTAATTGAATCTCTTCGACATAAAGATTGTGAAAATTTTCTATCTTGGTGAATGGGTGTACAGAAGGACCTTTCCCTTCCGTGAGAGGTTTGAGGCAAGGTGATCCTCTATCACCATTCCTGTTTCTTATTGCAGTGGAAGGACTGAACCAGTTGTTTAAGATGGTGAAGGACAACGGTGTTTTCTGAAGGGGTTTAAAGCTGCAATCAGGGAGACAACAGTGCTGAGATTACAACAGATGACTCTTCAATCTTCTGTTATGCTGATATGACCAAGTAAAACATCTGAGAGTTATTCTGGTGATCTTTGAAGTAGTATTAGGGCTACATGTTAATTGGAGTAAGAGCATGCTATTCCCAGTTAAGGAAGTTGCCAACATCCAGGTGCTAGCAGCTATCTTCAGATGTGTGCGGGGTCATTTCCAACTATTCATCTAGGGCTCTTCCAGGGGAAACAAGTAAAGCTTGAGAACTCTGGATTGGGGTATTGAAAGGTCTGAGAAGAGGCTAGCAATCTAAAAGGGCCAATATCTCTCTTTGGGAGAATATAGTTCTGGTATATTGTGTTCTGGAATCTGGATGCACCATCTACATATGTCATATCACTGGTTCCTCTTTTTTTTTTTTAAACATTAAAAGCTGTCTCTGGTTCCGTCACCTTGTAAGGTAAGAAACAGAATTGACACATTAAGGAGGAATTTCATATGTCAAGGCAACAAAGACAAGAAAGTGCATTTGGTTAATTGAAACAGTCTCATTACTGACAAAAGGAAAAGAGGCTTAGGCACAAGGAATCTAAATGCTCATAATCAAAGTTTGCTTGTGAAGTAGTTTTGAAGGTATTACTTGGAGACTAATGCTCTATGGAGAAGGATTATTCATGACAAGTATGGCCAAGATGGACGGTGTACAAGAATTGTCAACAACCTCTATGGGGTGAGCCAGTGGATCTTCCTGGAACTTTAAGATTGACAACACCAGTATAAGAGTGGGTAAAGGAAGAAAAACTCTATGCTGGAATGATGACTGGATTGGATATGGCTCTGTGAAAGAACTGTTCCCTGATTTCTATAGCATTGCGATACTACCTAAAGCAAATCTAGAAACAGTGAAGGGAGTGCAGAGGTGGAACATTACTTTCAAAATACTACTACATGACTTGGTACTGGAAAGAGTTGTTGAATTGTTCAAGATATTAAATTCCTTCCATGGTCTCAAAGATTCTGACGACACTTGATCTGGAAGCCTGGCAAAGAAGGGGTCTTCACTGTCAAATCTTCCTATACCTTATTGTCTAGGTCAAACCACCAAATTGATCACTGGCCATGTAAGTTCATATGGAAAATAGAGCTTCTTTTAAGTTTCTATTTTTCTCTGTCTAGTAGCAAGAGAAACCTACCTTAAGAAGGGGATTCCAACTATGCTCTATGTACCATGTGTGGTGCTACTTGGGGAACTAAACGTGATTAATTTTTACATTGTTCCATTGCTGGGCAACTGTGACAACTATTCTTCAACATGGTAAGTCTCAGGTGGTTGTGCCAGCAACAATTTGTGAGTTATTGATGTGTTTGAACTACGATGGTGGAGCAGTGAGGCAGAAGAGGTGGTGGAGACTTGTCCCAGCATGCATGGACAATCTGGAAGGGAAGGAACTGTAGATTTTTTGAAGACAAATACAATTTTGTGCAGAAAGTCAAGATGAATTGTATTCTTTGGTTTCATTTTTGGTGTAAAGAAAACTATGTAGAGGAGGATGGATCACTAGTTGATATGATTGATCCTTGTGAAGCAGTATTCCTAAGCATGGTTGGGTTTTTGTAATGATTGTTTCCACTATTTGCTGCTGTTTTTGACTCATATATACATATGTACATGTTACCATTTTAAAATGTGGCATATCTTACCATTTATGACAACAATGATCCAAAACATTGGCCACTTAAAATTGTACCTTTGACATTGGCAAACTGCTGTTGCTTCTGGAGATTTTATTCCGTTTTCGGTATCTTATTGTGTACATTAGTAGCCTTTGAGGTTAATCCAGGGGAAGTATAACATTAGCTTTCTGTTCTGCTGAAGTTGACACTCAAAAGGATCTTGGCTTCTTGAGAAACAAGATAAGGAGAAGCAAAAATATCTTGAATAACAAATTGTGGGAGGTTACTAATTTATTTCTTGCTTAACTCCAAATTATATTATATTTTAGCCTAGTTTTATCAGATTGTCTAAGATTTAGATTGGTGCAGAATCGCATAATGGTTTTTGTTTCAATGTAAGTTTTTGAACATGGGATTGTGTCTATGTAGGTTGCTAGCACCATTTATCTCACGTGGTATTTTAATGGAAGTTTTGAAGCTGTGGATAAAGGGTTGCTCCATAATTGTTCTTGATGTTCCTCTTTTGTTTGAGGCCAAGATGGACAAGTGGACTAAACCCATTGTTGTCGTTTGGGTTGATCCTAAGACACAGCTGCAGCGGCTCATGATTAGAGATGGATCAATGGAGGAGGATGCCAAAAGCAGAATAAATGCACAGATGTCCCTGGATCTTAAGAGGTCACAGGCAGATATTGTGATTGATAACACCGGTTCACTGGAGGCTTTGCATGAACAATTCCAGAAAGTGTTAACTCAGATTACAAGGCCCTTGACCTGGACCGAGTTAATGCTCTCAAGAAAGGGAGCTTTTCTGGCGTTGTTCCCCATTCTTGTCGGTGTTGCTATTTGCAAGAGAAGTCCATAAAGGTAATAACTCACCTAATTTGATTTAACACAATGTATGCATTTCTGCATGGCAGAAGACTTACTCCTTAATCGAGCTCTACTGTTTATGTACTAATTACTATTATTATTTTAAATAAACTGTGTGTGTACTTCCAACATGAGCTTTTATGCTTTATTAGATACTTGTTTGAGACGTTTAAGTTGTAGTACAATAATTTGATTGTACATTTGGACTGATTCAATGAAAGGAGGGATTCTGCTGCATTTTGGAATTTCTTTGGAGCATTTGGAACTAACTTGGTCTGAGATTTCTTTTTTTCTGTTGAAAATGAGTTCTCCTTCCACCACCACTACTGATAAAATGATTTTCATAATAGGATATTGTCATGTGCTGTACAAAATAATAAGGCCCCCAGTTGATGGTTGGTTTACAATGGCATCACAATGTGCTATTCCAGTGTTGTCTTGCTTCCTATTTCCTAGTGACTCTTTAATTTTTGTTAGAGGCATGTAATGTTTCCAAGGTTTTGCTTTTATAAAATCTATCTCCCAGGGTTTTCTGTGATATTAATGTTATTGTGGTTCATTTGTTAATTTAGAGAAGCTTGAAGTGTTTTTTTAAGAATATCTTGGAGAACTGAAGAATACATACCCCTAATGGCTAATTGCTAAATCGGGTAATTTTCTGGAATGTCTAAAGCTAATTTTAGAAATATCTACTACAGTTTGGAGTCCAATTGGGGTTTTTGGCTCATATTAAATTATTAATGGTGACTTTTATTGAAGCAAAAATGGTTGGAAAGAGAAATGTGTGCTGTGGTTAAAGAAATCTTGCTTAAATTATTGCTGGTTGCTAAACCTGTTGTTTATACTATTTATTGTTTCAAAATACCTGATTCTTTTTATAAGGAGATCTGTAGTTCGCAAAATTTGTGTTGTAAGAAAATAAGGTGTAGTGTCTTTAAATCTAGGTATTTGTACTAGTGATCTCTAGTATAATGGACTTTGGTCTTAAATCTGATTGTTCTTGTGGTAGTGGTAGAGACAGTTTGCCCTGCTAAAGATTAAAACTGGAACTTAGAGGAATTCCTTGTGTTATCTAACCTTTTAAGTTAACGACTATCTTGGGAAGCTAGGAACTAATGTTTCTGTGCTAATGGTAGGTTGATTGATCTGAGAATTAATGCAGCAAAAACCCAGTCAGAATGGGATGAGGTTTATATTGAAAATAGGATAGAACCAAGTCAGTCTTTAGCTGAACTTCCTACACATGCATAGTTTCAAAGGACATATTCTTTTATGTGGTCTCAATGGAGTATTTTCAGATGGTGTCAGTTAGGTAAAGATGATATGATTTAGTTCATTCAAGAACCAAATTATTCTTATATTGGTGCTCTATGATCGATCATAATCAATAAACATACAATATTCAGTGATGACAAGTGCAAGCTATTGCACAGAATTTGATTTAAGGGTGTGTTTGGTATGATGGAAAACATTTTCTAGAAAATGTTTTCCAATTTTCTCATGTTTGGTTGGCACAAAAGTTTTGGAAAATGTTTTCCAAATCAACTCATTTTCCTCGAAATTAAGGAAAATGACCCTTCAAATATTAAGGAATACATTTTCCAAAACTCTCCTCCAACTTCAACAAAAGGGTCTTACTGAACTTTTGGGGTTAGACTATGAAGTTCAATACAAAAAGGGTGCAGAAAATAGAGTTGCTGATGCACTTTAAAGACAACATGAGATATGTAAGGACGATTCTGACCAAGTCACCGGGAAATTATTGACAATCAGTGTCACAGTTCCTAGGTGGAGGTAGGAGATAGTTATGTAGATGATGACCTTGCTCAAGAGTTCATGGTGCAGCTTGCGGTGGACTTAAATGGTCCTACTATTTGGCAATTCACTTCTGGTGTTCTGAGAAATAAGAGGAAGATTTATGTAGGTGGTACTGGAGATTTAAGGCAAAGGCTGATCTCTACATTCCATGATTCTCCGATGGGTTGTCACTCTGGGCAGTTGGGTACTCTAAAGAGGTTGGCTTCACTGTTTAATTGGCCCAACATGAAACAAATGGTGATGCAACATGTTGAGAGTTGTGATGTATGCCACAGGAATAAGGATGAGAATGTCGCATACCCAGGGCTACTGCAACCTCTACCAATTCCTAATCAGACTTGGAGTCATATCAGCATGAATTTTATAGAAGGATTGCTGAAATCCAGCTCCAAAGATGTGATATTAGTTGTAGTGGATAGGCTATCAAAGTATGCTCATTTTGTTGCCTTGTCCCATCCGTTTACTGCAGCCACTGTAGCTAACAAGTTTTGGAAGAAGGTACACTGCTTACATGGTACTCCCGAGTCCATTGTATCTGATAGGGACAAAATTTTTCTCAGCAACTTTTGGCAATCCTTATTCAAACTATTGGGTACTCAACTACACTTAAGCACTGCTTATCACCCACAAAGTGATGGTCAGACTGAGAGAGTGAATAGGTGCATTGAGAACTATCTGCGGTGCATGACATCGAACAGACCTATTCATTGGAGACAGTGGCTTCCTTCCGCTGAATGGTGGTACAACACGAATTTTCACATTGGACTGCAGAGTACTCCATTTGAGGCTCTTTATGGTTATTCATCACCCCAACTATCTGTTGGACCCCTGCTTGAGACTGTTGTTCCTGCTGCTGAAGATGTTGTTATGCAGCGACAACAAATGTTACAACTTTTGAAGGACAACCTCCATAAGGCTCAAGAAAGAATGAAGGTGTATGCCGATAAAAAGCGATCAGATAGAGTGTTGCAGGTGGGTGACGTGGTTTACCTTAAACTTCAACCATACAATCAGACCTCTCTTGCTTTACGGAAGAATTTGAAGTTGAGTTCAAAATACTATGGTCCCTATACAGTCTTAGCCAAGGTAGGCATTGTTGCCTACAAGTTACAGTTACCACCCTCTTTTAGAGTGTATCCTGTATTCCACATGTCCCTCTTGAAGAAGAAGATAGGAGATAAGAGGGTAGCTCAAACTGTTCTACCTGCTACTGGTGCAGACGGTCAATTCTTGGTGAAACCAGTTGCTGTCCTTCAGAGACAAATGGTGAAGCATAACAATAGGGCCAAGGTGAAAGTGCTCATAACTTGCCTCCTGAAGATGCTACTTGGGAGGATTACGAGTTCATACAAGCACAGTTTCCAGATTTTATTCTCAATCCTTGAGGACAAGGATGTTGTGCGCTTCAATCTTGTCATGATTAGCTAATCTCATATTCAGTTATCAAGAGTAACGGTCATGATTAGAAGTTAATAAATGAAGCGCAAAGGCTAGGATTGCGCCACGTCGGTAACATCCACATCAGCTCAAGTCACAGTTAAAAAGCAACCACCAAGAGAGAGAAGAGACATTGATCAAATTGGTATTATTCTCGTGCTCTCTTCTCTCTCTTCTATCAGATTCTCTTCTCTTTTCTTCATCTTCCTAATCTAAACATTCCGTTGCATGATCGGAGCTCTGTCCATTTAGGTTTACTATCTTAGTTTCTAGTGTCTTTTATTTCCTTCTAGTTCTGTACAATTTCATTTGAATGAAAACAGAAAATTGTTCCAAAAAGAGAATCGTTCCGTCGTAGTTACATTTCGTTGAATTATATTTCCTATATTGAGGTCAGATCGTGAAAAATCTCTCAATGGAACTTTTCCACTCTAGCATCTTCCTTCCATATAAATAGGATCCCCAAACTTCAAGTACCAATGGAAGCCCTTGTGCATGTGTTACCACACTTTCAGAGAGCTCCACAAAGTCTTCTGGAGGGAGGGAGGGGATTATTGAAAGCTTGCCAAGAGAAAAACTGTAGACTTTCACTTGACCTCATATTTTACATCACCTGTCAGCAAGTGTTTGTCCCCTGGTGGTAATGATAATTCTACTGCCAGGACCAAACCAATTCTTCCCTCCCACTAATGAGTATATTTGCTTGAGATCAACAACGCCGTCAAGGATTGATGACATCAATTGAATTCCATGGTCCACACTGCTGACTTCAACTCTTTTCCTGAGAAGCTTTTCTTGCAAAGCTACCAAACCGCTATCCCCACTTGAAGCTCGAGATTCAACATGAAGAAAGGAGCTACCATCAAAATTTGGTTGAAGATGGCTTTTGCTAAGGTAGTTTTACCAACACCTCCCATGCCCCAGATTCCAACACTTGTGACATCGCTTGACAACTTATTTATCAGTTCACTAATTCCTGTATAATTTTTTGTTTAGTTCACCCAATACCTCCTGGATAATCATCTCAATGAACTTCACTTCACTACTGCACAAAAGGAAAAATGGTACTAGTAAATAAATAATACTAGTATTCCCTAAGGGAGAAAAGGTATTCTGTAAGAAATTAAACAGTATCCAAGTCATGAAGTAATAAAATTTGAAAGAAAAATAATTTTCTTCTCTTGCTTTTCAAAAAGAAGGAACATCAAAAATTAGTAACTAAAAGATGGATGGAAACAATCCAGAAAAACAGTACTAAACCAATACACAGATGGCCCCTTCAATCCAAAAAAAAAAAAAAACAACAGAAAATTAGTTATTATTATTATAATTTTCAAATATCTAAGAAATCTAGAGGAGAATTTCATCATATAACTTTTTAAGATACAATGCTATTAAGTAGTTCTTTTCAATAGGTGGATCTGAAATCATAAAGGGCAATAATTATTTGGGGTCTGTAGTGCATTTCCTGCATCCTTGATAGATAATTAATGGTGACAAAACATTGACTAGTACTACTAGTGAAAAAAATAAAAAAATAGATTAATTATTTGCAGCAATTAATTAATGAGATCTATAATAGAAAAGATGGAATTAATTCTGTATCTTTTCATTCCCATGTTCTAAACACTGCTGGGCAAAGAAAATAGCCTAGCAAATGTGTATTCAGAAGAGAAAAGGTAATAAATATCAACAGATATTTTTCATATAGATGGCAACAACTATTAGCCGTTAAAAAGATTTTGAAGATGGAATCCAGATAAACTTGCAACATCAGTATAAGTGCAGCTCTCCACTTCTTCAACTGTTCTGGACTCTAATTTGATTCAATGTTTAGCAAGAGAATCACCAATTTGCCCAGTTTGATGGCGTACTTGAGAAGGATCGACATTATAAAAAATAGGAAAAATGTGCTGCCCAAACTTTACTATAATTCTTACCCACTCATTAAAATACCATTTAGAAGATGAATAATTTTTGGAGAAAACAACAAAGAGAAATATTCGACTCTTCCATTGCTTCGTATAAACTCCGTGAGATGTCCTCGCCTCTTGGAAGTTCATCGTCTTTAAACACATTAATTCCAACATCACATAATGCTTTATAGAGATGATCTAAAAATGTTCTGCGTACATCTTTAACCCCTAAAACTCAAGAAAACTTCATAACATGGTGATATGCAAATTAGCCATCATATACAGGGGAAGTATTTTGCAGGCTACTCTTTATAAATCCTTAAGGTTAGAAACCATAAAGATCAAATGACTGCTTTTTTTTTCTTGGAAAATGTGGTACATATTTGTATTATAAGAATTTGCAAGGAAGTAGCAAAAGATTAATTAAGAAGGAAGAAGAACTTGCAAGGCAATTTCATCATAGACTTATTTGTAGAAAAGGTTGACACGGTCAAAAGGTGCTTTCATGTAATTTTAATTCCATTTCTTTTGAGTTGATACCTGAATCAGTTACATAGCAATTTTGTATGATCAAAGAGATATGGTTTTGGTCAAATTGATGTCTTAATTTATTTTATCACAAAGTGCTAGCAGGTCTTGTTTATTTTTCGCTAGGAAGAAGAGTCAAATATGCCTCTAAACTATTCGAAAAGGTCTAGATATATCCTCTGTTTTAAAGTTTAGCTCACTCATGTCCTCGCCGTCCAACTTTTGGCATAGTTTTGCCTCTTATGTTAGTTGGTTTGCTGGACATTTCGAACTCATTTTCTATTTCTTTAAATGTCATATGGAATTGCAATATGGAATTTCTTGAATGCTTTGAAACTAATTTGGATATGTGTATTATGGTTTGGAGTCCAAGAAGGGCGTATTGCTATACTTAATGACTGAGGTTTGTCAAACTAAAACGGCCTGAGAGAATAATGTTAGGTAGCAGTAAGGAAATCTTTCTTTAGCTAAAAATAGGTCTGGTTTCAAGAGTCCTGATTGTTTGTATTAGAAGATTTGTGGTTTGCAAATTCAGATAGGAAGTAGATGAGGCGACATATTGTATGTGGTTAAATCTAGGTATATCCCTGATCGATCCATTATGCAAGCTTACATCTATGTCGAGTAGCTCTTGAATTCAAGTACAATGTGGGGTGAGGGACCTGTCAGCTAGAGGACTAAGATGTGAACTGGATGATGATGTAAGTGTGAGTTTGTATGGGTGGGGGGCAGTTCCAGTTTTAAGTTCATTCTGTTCTCATATGTCATACCCCTTCTCAAGTGTGTTTCTTTAACTGCAGCTGAAGCCGCCTTGATGTTTTGTTTGAGTTTGAATTCTGAATTACACAGCATGTTCTGTCCAAGAGACGATGGATCAGACTCTTCGCTTTCTTATTTCTTTACTGGTAGAGAGAGGTTGGACAGATTTGCACTATGCTGCTGGTTGAAGATTCCGCAGCAAGGGCAGTTCATCCAGTAACAGGTTTTCCAGGATATAAGCTACTTGAAACTGACATGATTTTTGATGTTGATCAAGAAAATGAAATCATTGCGCATATGGTCTTTAAACAGTAGGCCTAAGTTCCATCCTGTACTGTTATATTCTCGACTGGTGATTAAATATTACTATGACTGAGTTTTGTTCTATGCTTGCTCCTGCCATTTTTATGCTTCTTGCTTTCCTTTGATGTTACTACTGTTACGTATTCTGGGCTTAATGATGTTTTTCTTGTTTGTTTTGTTCGCTTGATAATTTGTGGCAAGTATTTTTTAGGATGTTGCCATTTGAATGAACATTTGTTCTTTTATATAGCAAAGGGGAAAATATTCCTTCAACTTTGTAAAACCATGTTAAGTAAGGTGGAGGATGCAACTCACCTTGAAACACACAAGTGCTTAAAAAAATCATATTTGTCTTAATCAAGAACATGTAGACACCAAAAATACGTTTGGGTTCCTAATCATAACAATATTCAGTGGTAACGAAATCATCAATGTCTGTCTTATTCTAAGGAGGGGAATCCAACAAGTTGACATTTACCTCCAACTTCATATGAACATAAATATGCTACAAGTTTAGGTGCCAATTGGTAGGTGTGGTGTAACTACACATTTTCACAATAAATATATGAACCTTCATTTTTTCACAACAAAAATGCAGTTTAGCTTCCTCCTAATAATTATGATACCTGTAACATATACTCCAATATATATTAAGTCAAAGAGTATTTTTGTGATAATACCATCCTTCGCCTCGAAGCATAATGTACAACTTTAATTAGTTAACTGAATCAAGCAGTGGTCATCATCCAACATACAAAAAATTTTAACAGAGCAGAGATATGCAAAACGATGAACACAGCCCTGTATCTAATGGAATAAATAAAAGTCCTTCCCTCCCTCCCCTGTTTAAAAGTTTCAAATGTGCATTACCTGGCAAAAGTTACCAAAACAGAGAAAGATAGATACCATGAGAATTATAAGAAACATCTACGATTCATAGCAAATTCTGACTTGCATCTAAAAGGCTAACTCCACATTAGATTCTTTTTCAAAGACACAGTACTGACAGGAACATATAGAGTATAATCTCATCATTATCAAGAAAACACAGATGATTTACTTGACCTCTGAATGTCTTAAACTTAAAGCCTACATTAGTTCTGAATACCAAAGAGAAAGCAAACATCCACTGCTGGAATCAACTCCTTCCTTGGAAACCTGAAAAGAATTAAAAGAGTTACTGCAAGCAGAGCACGCTATATGAAGAATCATATACATCCATCTCCATAATCATATCATGCAACTGCAATCAAAAGCTATCACAGAGGGCTAGGAAGACAAAAGACACGTCCCAATTTCCAAAACATCCAGCTGAACGTCATTATCATTAGTCAAGAAGCAATTAAAACAAACATTAGGTCATGATACACAACACAGATCAAATATAACCATTTGTTAGTAATTGAACACAAACCAAGAAACCTCACAGAGCCTTTTAAAACCTCACTATCTCAATTTTAAGTATGGAGTTACTTGCAATCCTTTGAACAGTAACCAGAATATACCAAAACTGCTGATCACGTCGACTCTTCAAGATTGAATATTGAAAGTTCTCTTTAATTTTAATTATTAACACAAAAATGATAGCAAGTGTAGCAATCAGTGATCCACTTCCACCAGCCTCGCATTTCATCTCAGTTCCAAAAATTTAACTCTCTAAGATTATTACTTGAAAATCTCACTTCTTCAGACTTAAAAATAAAATGAACTGGAAATAACATGCATTAAATGTCCCAGACTCCCAATCATTGGATCATGCTTACTCTTCAGAAATGAAAAATGGGAGTTCTCTTTAGTTCTTATTATAAAAGAAAAATAGTATTTGTAGCGGACACTGTTTCATTTTCACCAGCCTAGCAAGCAGGGTCCAAACTAGAAAAACGTTTTTGAGGGACAACTCCTAATATCTGTACTTGAAAATCTCATATATATAAAATGAACCACAAAAAAACACTTGATATATAGCATAATGAGTGAAGATATAAATCTGCAGTAGGTTCTAATATGCTCCATTTGTTCTGTCAAGGCAAACTCCAGATAATTAGTGTTTTACCTGTACAACTTTGCAATTGATGGCAATTACGGAATATAGTTATCTCAAGATGAACATGCTTCGACAGCTGAGGCTCATTCATGTTGGACATCAGGATTGTCAAACAGCTTGAAAGGTTTATTTGGTGAGACATCTGAGTTGGATGGATCATCTTTATTTGGTGAGACGTCTGAGTTGGATGGATCATCTATCTCTTTATACACTTCAACGTTATCACTTTCAGAGAAACCAAAACCATCTAAAGCTCCCTCAACACGTTCAACATGGATGACCTTACCAAATAACTGGAAAGTACTGAAACGATCTTTTGTAAAAGAGCTGGAACCCGGTTTTGTAATCAGCTCATTGTCCCCAAAATGCACACTGCTCTGACTATCCAGTGATAAATTGTCTGAATATGAACTGCCAATATTCAGTTTGGGAGAAACACTGTCAAGCTTTGCCTTGATTTCTTCATCTAAGCTATTGTTAGTGCACAACCCAAGGTTATTGCTCTTAACATTGGATAAACTTGATACACTAACTTGATCATGCCTGGCTCCCTGCATGCCCGCAGGAAAAGATGTAAAATTGCCCAATGATGGGCTACTGAGTCCAATCGTAGAATTACCCAACCCTGTCATAGGGAAGCTACCCAACCCTGTCATATGGAAGCTACCCAATCCTGTCATAGGGAAGCTACCCAACCCTGTCATAGGGAAGTTACCCAACCCTGTCATAGGAAAGTTACCCAACCCTGTCATAGGGAAGCTACCCAACCCTGTCATAGGAAAGGGGCTTCTCTCTCCATCAGGTAGAAGCCCATTAGGCAGTTTTATTTTCTTCGATGGAGGAAGAAACTGTGGGATTGGCGGAAAACACTCAACTTGCCAAGGATTCACCCTGTTAGCATGCTGCGGAACTTCTGGTTCCTCCCAAGTGATCTGCAATAGAAAAGCACAAGAATCTCAGATTGGCGAAAAACCATAGCAAACCAAAAAGTAATAGCTATGTTACTTGTTTAAAAAGAGAAGCCAAAGGCTAATAATGCTTCCGGAGTTGGCAACTTATAATAGTTGAGTGATCCCAATTTATTCCAAGTTACACAAGGGAGTAAAATGGGAAATGGAAACTGTTGATTTATTTTTATTGATAAGGTAAGAAATTGATTCAAATTATGGCCACTGTTGACTTCTAGGCAAATGTTGGGGGAGGTGGGGCATGATTCAGCATATCAAAATCCAGAAGGACACACTGTGAATTCACTGTTTAAAGAGATTATTGAACCAAACCACAAAACCAGGTAAGAAAACCATAACACTTACTCACCCATACCTCGATGGCTCCATACGTAATTTATTGGAGAACAACTCTCAAACATGAAAATCGGAACGGTTATTAGAAGTGAAACCTGATCTATCACAATAAGTAATTCAATTATAGAGAACCAATATAATAGAGAGCCAATAATGGAAACTAGAGATGCTATCATCAATTATTACTTGGTACTGCACTTTTAAATATGAGACTCAAAGACTTTGGGCTGATGTAAAGCAGAATGAATCTCAGTAAATGTAGTTATAAAAGGCAAAGATTAGTTTGAATGATATTGTGATGCTCTATTAATTGTGCAATTGAAGAGTTCTGTAAATGCACTACTTACCCTGGACACAATTTAGAACTTGCTAAAAACAACTGTGACACACTACTATGCAAAGGTGTAAGCACCACCTGATGTGAGAGTAGAACGCACACACAAGGGGAAGGAGTGGGGTTGGTATGACGAAAATGTTTTTAAAAAATAAGTGGCTTTCTTATGTTCCAGCATTTTATAAGCAAGCAGAAAATATTATCCCAAAAGCATTAGTATATAACCTAGACAAACATTATATGACGTGGATGGAGGTGGGTAGTAGGGGTGTGGGGATGGTGGAGATTTGGAGGAGAAGTAGACAATCGACGTGTGGAACTAGTATTCACTACTTCCACAAAAGAAGTTATTTTCCTCATTTTTAAGCAACTTGCTTTCCTAGAGAACATCTTTTCAAAAAAAATTGACCTACCAAGAGAAAAATGGAAAACTCCATAACAAACACACTCACTGTCCACCACCGACTTTTACTTCAAATGCTCACAGAAAGAGTCTCTTTTTTCTTTTTCCGTTCTTAATATTACCTAGGCTCCCAGCTTCTCTTTATTTTCTTCTTCTTCTTCTCCCTATCCTTTGGCATCCTATTTCCCCATAATTTCGGTATTCGATTTTTAAAACACTATACATTACCATACCAATTCAATTCGGCATGGTTCGATATCTTGAAGTTCAGTTTCAGTATTCTACGGTTTGGTAAATCGGTAACCATAATTTGTTCAACTTCGACTAATATATACTCGTATAATAGAGTTTTATGACTTTGACAATTAAAAAAGATCTCGAGTGTATCATACTAACACATTACACATGTAGAAGTATACATTCAAAACAAAATACAAACAACTCCGTTTGTTAATCAATTAAATTTCAAATACATTTCAATCAAAATAGAGTAGTCAAAGTTTCAACTTCTAAGCATTTAGTATATACTAACTATGTTGCGCGGACTTTTTGTAACCAAACTCGTCTCGATGCGACACAGGTGCAGGCGCGGTTGCAGGGTGCATGTTGGATTTGGTCATCCAATCCAGATACTTTGACCAGAGCCAAGAAAAAAATTGGGGAATGAAAGTTCAGTTTCATGGCCGCAGAAAGTTAACTTTTCTCTGACAAAGTTGTCATGAGATCTGGTTGCTCCATGGAAAAGAATAGAGAAGAGGCAGAACATACGAGAATAGAGAGAGGAGGCAGAGCTTTTTTATTATATAAGAACAAAGGGAAGAAGACGTCTCCATGGGAAAGAAAGAACAAAGGATTCAAAGTCGTCATGAGATCTGGTTGCTCCATGGAAAAGAATAGAGAAGAGGCAAAACTTACGAGAATAGAGAGAGGAGGCAGAGCTTTTTTATTATATAAGAACAAAATGGAGAAGACGTCTCCATGGGAAAGAAAGAACAAAGGATTCAAAGTCGTCATGAGATCTGGTTACTCCATGGAAAAGAATAGAGAAGAGGCAAAACTTACGAGAATAGAGAGAGCTTTTTTATT